AGAGTGCTGTAATACCGGCACGAAACGAGTTGTGCTCAACGTTGGGTCATTAGGCGTCGTCGTCAGGACGGGCAAGCGACGGCGAGTCCGGCCCGTCGTTAATTTCCTGGACGCTACACTTCCTGTACCAGATAAAGGAAAGGGGACAGGAATACCTTGTCGCTTAACTGTGCTTGCCTCTAATTGGGCATTGTTCTAATTTAAACAATCAAACTGGACATAAAATGTAACGGAAAGTGTAATGTGATAATGTTGAACTTCGTATCTGTACTTGCATGAAACTTTAACAATTTTCTGACAGAACAAACTGTTATACGGACACCGAACTATCACCCACTATAATCGTTTCTGGTAAGCCAGTAGTTCCTTGACTACTCAGGATAACTGCCAGATATTCTTCTTTAAAATTCATTTTAATATTATTCCAATTTTAAGTTTGTATCTCCCATACGGTCGTTTCCCTTTGACATTCCGACTTGATTTTGCATATTTATAATTTTTTTCATGCGGGCTACATACCTCGCATATCTCTGGCTTTTTCATTTGAATACCCTAACAAATAGTTAAGAATACACGTTCTGAAGCTCGTAATTATGTGGATTTTTTAAGACACCTGTTAGTTCTTTACACGATACACGTATTTCCTCAGCACTGTGTTATTCCCTGAGTAGGAGGTACCAACTTCCACGCTAAGTTAGAACAAGTTCATGGTTTAATATTTAAGATTCTAGACAGCATACATTAAAATAGAAGGATTTTTAACTGATCGATTTCAGCAATTTCCGAAATTTAATCTACTCATATTTTTATTCGAGGATACATTTTTGGACTTGTTATTGCGATTCTCCAGTATTTCAGTTATATCCATTAGCCACGTTTAATGACCCAGTGCCGCCTTGTCCATCAGCAGTGCGACGTCGGATGAATAAGACTCAGGAACTCGCATTATCAACACTGTTCAGCTCGTTTAAATTATTCTACCCCTTCGTAAAGTTCCCTCTGGCTCGTATATATCTTGTTATAATGATCTGTCATTTTCCTATAAATCTGACTAATTTTCGCACATTTTGATCTCAATAAATTGGATCGCAGGTCGTACTTCTTTGCTGCATTCTACCATTGTAGCAGACACGTTGAACGTGTCTAAAAACACGTCGTTAGCTGAAAATGAGGAACGGGTATTATTAAAGGCTGTGTAAGATTTGAGATTATCATGGCCTTGAAGTTGTGGGTTGCTAACTAATGGGTTGTGATACCACAGTATCTAAGCGGTTTTTAATATTTCTGAGGAAAGTGTAGCCTTCATGTTCAGTGTATACATCTACAAGACAAGTCACACTTCTGAAGGTGACACATTGCTTAAAGAACTGGTAACCACTCGTAAGATTACAGTGTTATAACCCATAAGACGACAGTTCAGAAAGTTAAAGTCGTGAAATTTCAGATTATTACTGCGTTAAAAATGACAGTGTTGGTTTTCTGTGTTATAACATCATCTGAATTTACAGGTGAACACAAAACATTTCGAAAGAACATATTCAGGCTTAAAGTTGGAGGACGTATTTTTCTCAAACTTTTGTATCTACATACGAGTCAAGTCGGTGTATAATTAAGTGGATTGTACTTGATACTACAATTACGAAATGACGCGTACGAGACATGCTACTCTCTCTTGAGAAGTTTAATTAATTTATTACTCTGTAAATGTCGCTGGATGTCGATAACAGTTTTTTTAATTAATTCAAAAATCTCATCCCTCGGAACATTTAACAATGTAAATTTGATAAGTGTGCAGCTTCTTACATTTTTATCAGCATTCGAGAACATAAAAAAATGCAACATTGTCATGTATGGCATTAATTTTGTTTAGTTCAATGACCCCTAATTTGGTATACATCTGTCCCACAGTACTTAGACACGTCTCACGGTTTGAGAATTTTGAGTATTCAATTAAGATAAAAAAATTTCAATGTGCATTGTTCTCAGTCGCCGCTACCGCTACAGGCTGAATTACTAATGCATTTAACCCACACCTGACACAAAATATGGAGTTTAAAAAAATTCCTTTAAACCCATTAAGATTTAATTAATTTTAATTCATTTAAATCCTTTTTCCGAGACTATCGCCACTACTTTCAAACCAAACTCATTTCGTAACCTGATCGTAGAAAAGAAAATTATATATTAATAAATGTTTCAGAGGTCCTTGCTGCCTCCATCATGCACAAGCTATGAAGAAGTTTTCGGAGGTACTGCCGTAACAAATTGAACGAATTTCCTCGCAAAATTAAGAAAGCAATAGGCCTTTAATTTATTTGTAAAAGTTCTGTTTTGCGATGATGGAGTAGTCTGACCGAAGGACTGCCTGAAAATTGTGGAAGCTTAACCTTAGTTCGGAAACCTTGTAACTTTGAACCTGTTAAGAAAAAAACTCGTTCCAAGCTGTCATGTCACGTGTAATCTGTCATCGGGAGACAGGCTTCAGATTGCTACTGGCCCGGACACTTTCCTCATAACACGTTGGATGATCAGATTGGTTACGAGCTTTGGAAGCTGCGTGATGTTGGAGTCAGATGCCGCGAAAGCGCAGAACTGTGCTCAGGCAACTGTAGAATCAGGAACATAGCGGACACGGAAAAATATGGAAGTTATTAATTTCTAAGGATAATGTTTTTTGAACTTCGTCCTTCGTCTACTTTCATAATTTTGCGGTAACTCTAATGCATAACTGAGCCCCTGAAGGTAAAAATTCCTGATGTGCAATGTTCCCATATTTCGCTAAAAAAGAAGCTTTAACTACACTTTCGTGCGACACATTTTCTGGATTTATTTTAGTTGTAGAAAAAGATCCTTGTGTTTATTGTATACTATTAACAAAGCTTCTATATATACTACGTACTTAGGCCTAAGCACATACATATAACATATTCTCTTTCAGCGTATGCTAACAAATTTCATATATTTAAAAGAAGTGACCATTCGGTTTTTAGTAAAAATATAAATCTTCATGGTCTCCATCTTCATATTGTTTATTTTCTGAAACAAAACCTTTTCCCTATCAATGTTATTAAAAAATCTTAAGCACACTGCACAATACATCAAATAATTATTCTTCACGTATCTTCAAATAAGGCGAGAATTTGAGTATATAATGTTTAAAATTTCTAATCCAGATAATCTGGTTGGACATGATTGATAACCAAATTTCAAACCATTTTCGTTACATGTTAACTCAATTTTATTATATTTCTGTTTTATTTTGCATTGCCAAATTGATACGTTACGTGGCATCGAATAGCAGAACAATGTTGAATGACAAGTAGTGCAAAGAAGAGTTTTTGGTTTGTGTTAAGAAACTGTCCCGGAACTTATTGTTAAATTCTCGGGAAATCAACATCCATCGTTGACATTAATCGGCTTCTGTATTTTAGAGTGTGCATCTGTGTCGGTTCAGGTTTTACACACGGCCAGTAGAGCTTTTCATGAAACTTTATCTGCGAGACAGTAGCTAGAGCCTGAGCCGCAAGAATTCTCCGATTTTAATTTCCGCTGCTGTTTCAGTCGATCTTTCCGACAAATTTTTATTTCGACATTCTTCTTTACACCCCGCTCTCATTCAAAATTATCCACACATAGCACTCAAGACTAGTTTTACTTTGTCCTGAGAGCATAAAATGTTTAAAATGTGTTGAGCATACTGTCGATAAAGAACGTTTTCCAAATCGATTATTTTTAAAGGAGCTGTTCTTACTTTTGACAAATACAGAGCAGATTGGGGCAGGGGTTACATTCCGCATTTTATATTCGGGTACCGTGTAAAATCCCAAGCGGATATCGGCTATAAAGTTTAAGAATCTTTGTCGTATTCTCAGTTTCTTAGGTTAACACACACAGAAACTTAAAACACAACCTTCTTTTAAATTCTTATACAATCACCGTTCATACTTATCTTTCCATTAAATTCGATTCTACTTAATCTAGGTAGTCGACACAGCATCGGTAAATAATCGATCCCATATTCCAGGACCCTCGCGGAACGGAACTAGGGAACTAATAGGGTTCAGACGCATCCTGTTTAATTTTCCGTGGTAAATGAATTTTCAGTTATTATTTGAATGGACTTCCTACTGAAAAAGTTTAACGGAATCTGTTTTAAATATTTATCGTAAACAATAAAAGTCCTGTTAATTTATTGAATAGAAATAAAATTTGCACACAATGAAAATGGCGAACTTGTCTTCAAGCATCTTAGATTGACATATTACCACGCATTTAAGAAGGATACTAAAGCAGATGGACTACGTGTTTAGTTATACGGTAGGCAGGCTTATGTTTACATCATTAAGTTTGGTGTTGTTTCGTTGTAGGCGTAATTCCTTTAAGCTACAGTAAAATAAACCTTTCATTTTAATGCTGTAAATTTACCATCCTAAGTAATCTATGTAGCCTGTAATTGAGTGATTTTTCGTGTACATGATTTGGTGTCCGCCATCTTTTCTGTGATAATATCTTCCAGTATTCGACAAAGAGTGTCTGTGCTTGTAATTTGTTTGGACAGTGTAACATAATTATTGTTCATTTCTTTAAATTTGATTGTGGCATGAGATTTTTAAATACTATTCAAAAGAATATTTTACATACTTCGTACTGTAAAATATTAATAGCCTAGATTTATTTTAAATATAATTCTGCAACAAAAAATATAAAAAAACGAATTCGGCATTGAAAGATTCGTTAAGGAACTTGATTTTGATTTTATGTAAAAGTACTCAGGAAGCAAAACAGTTCTAGTTTGAGACAGGTCCTACCATAACTTAGGTGCTTAGTCGCCGGGATCGCCAAGAGTTCGGTATCCTCAGTCAGTATTATTCCCCACTGATCCGTAAATGGTCTAAGAGAGACCTGGTTCCTCAGAGACACAGCGCCACCCCATCGCAACGGCAATAACAACAGTGATAATAACGTAGAGTCAAGTGAATCGTAACTGGGCGTGGACTCACCTACTGTGAGGAGAGAGCTCGAACAGCAGGCGATCAGCAGCGAGAGCAGCAGGTTCCACGCCGTCTTCATAGCCCGCTACATGGCTGACAGCAGCGCTGCAACACACAACACGACTCACCACTGTGGTCGACACGACACGTCGCTCTACCTACAACTTCCACTCTTTACTTTCCCCAGTGATGCTACAGCATTTTTCAATCTAGCAGCTTGTAGAATCCCCACTCAAAGATCTTTTATTTATGACTTACGACTCGTAGTTTAATAATTAATTTGTGTTTCAGGAATCGTATAAGAGATTTTACTTCATCGCGAACATAAAAGTACTTTAGGAGGTAAATGAGTGCTTCTTGAGACCCATACTCTAGGCACATATCTTACAGTTTATGAAGGATGCTGTTTAAAAAATACTGATTTCTAAAACACAGAGCACGTAGAGATGTATGATATTTAGTTCTTTCGTATTTACAAATATCGTGTACATCTGTGAATCAAAGAGTACTGACCACTGAATGGGGTTTAACCTTAAAAATTCTGAGAGGGCGAAAATAATCATTTGCGTTCAGGCTATATTGAGTTGTTGGCCTACATCGACCATTTCGACAAAACAGATTTAAAATATGCTTTATCTACCATGCGTATAATATTGAGTAATAGATAAACTGAATATTCCTTTTAGGATGTTGCTACGTTAGTCTGTTAGAACACTACTGGCGTTTCAGATGCAGTTAGCACATCTCAGATTTCGGTTAACTTCTACCACACTGCACAACGCAATATCCAAGAAGAACCTGAAATATTACAAAATATAATTTATTTATTGAAAATGATGTGTTATTAAGAAATAGCATAAAACGAGAAAATCTCAATTGCACCACATTTATTGCGTCTTGAACTTGTCTCCATTTAGAAGTGACACTCTTCAACAGTGAACGTAGATCCCCAGACTAGTCACCTCTATATACATCAAAACGCTTACCAGCAGGGAAACATTGATCATTTATCTGGGTATACAGACTCATTAAGGGTACCCAGTTATTAAGCCAGTGTTTTTACGTGTAATAATGTTTAAGCATCCAATTCAAACGCGATTAAATACCCTATTGGGTGTCAATTTCAATTGACGTTGGTTGTGTGCATGGCTGGCTGATGAAATGCGTTTTACGGGCGTGTGACATATGGATTGTGTTATACGGACATAAAACCTGCTACAACATTTTCCATAGAAGATTGGAAATTGAACTGATAATTTACATATATTCCAGAACACATTATCACATGCTTTTAAAAGCCCATAATTTAGTTTGATGTTATATTAGCCACTTCGGAATGTTTCTCAAAACCAAACAAGTCTGAAAAATAATGTAGCTAGATTGCATGTAAGGTGTTTCAAAGCTATAAAGCACAAACTCATTTACAGGAAACACCAGCGATAAATGTAATGAATTTCTTTCAAATAGAACAGTTGTTCGGGAATCTTAAAGTTCACTCCGCATAGTGGTACAAAACGTTTCATATGAGTAATGTTACATGACTCGATTCTCGATTAAGATTAACATCATTATAGCGTCTAATTGTTCTGTTAATTTTGTACATAGTTCCTGAATTCTGTGGTGTTATGAGCTCCTGCCGGGATATTGTAGGAATCTATGTCAGTCGATTGATTTATGTGAAGTGTGTTTATGTATGTTTGCTGGTGGAATAACTTCACCTTCGTCGAAGTCTGTGAGAAAAAAATTGAGGTTATCAGCTAATATTCTGTATGGGTTCTGGGAAGTTCTGTCTCAAAGAGCGTTATTAACATAATAGATGTCGAAGTTTTGTCAATTTTTAAAAAGTAATTAAAACCTGACGGAAAATTATAATATTTCACGCCTCTTCATAACTGTAGCAAGGAGAGAATAGCTTTCTAAGTCCCACTGACTTATGTTTACCAAAGAATGTATACTGTGGCTAAGGTATGTAGTTTTCTAACTTAACACACGGTTCTCAGGAGGATGAAAAAGCCTGCAACGATGATCTTGGTTAATCGCACCTTATCGAGAGTACTATGATGAGAAAGAGTATTTTGCTTGTTTAGATGTCCGGAGGTAAATAATGAATTCTAGAAAATTTCCCTATAAGACTTCTTTGATCAAAATAAATTAAACAAACTTTCTACACCAGCATTTTGAAAACAGGTTATTTTGAACATTAAGAGCTGCTTTTGTGGCATTATAATAACGGAAACAAAATAATTTTTATAAACCAAATGTATTATAGTCTTAATTCTGGGCTATGTGACGTAATTAGACAGTGGTTAGGAAAAATATGGGCACAAATCAATTGTAGCCTGCGGTTACGTACGTGAGAATAATAAAATAGATAAGAATTTCAAGGGGAAAGTATTAAGATGGCTCTCTTGTGGTATTTAATAGTCAGATGGAAGTATACAGACGTTTCAGTGATGCATCGAGCAACAAAGCACGCGAGGATCGTCTACATTACATACCACACTACACGGCGCAACATTCCAGAATATTAAATAGATAGAAGTGTAGTGCATTTTATGCATTTATCTACTAATAATTGTTTGTGTGTATGCAGTATTAATATTATTGTCAGCTAATCGGAGGTAATTTGCTGTTTGATAGAATGAAACAGCAGTAAGAAGGTATAAATGAATGAGAAATAATATCTGAAAAATTCCGTGTTAGAACAACACTTAAATATCCGAGAATACATCTCATACAAACTAAATGTACATGCCGTAAATCTCTAACTGCAGCCTCTTTATCTTAACATTGCCGGTACCTTTGACTATGTGAAATATATAACTTTATTGAAAGTGATTTTATATACAAAAATAATCTTGAATATTTAGAATTTTTTTTTCATTGTTTCACTAATTTCAAGATTCACAAACTCTAGAATTAGTAACTGTATCAGTTGCGCTGTGTTAATATCCGTTACATTAACAATTATTAGTGCAGAATAAATATGCACGAAATGAATACATTATTAATATTTAAGTTAGGTCAAATATCGTTTCCTGTGCTGACTAAAATTTTATGCTCTTATGTACCAAACGCTCAGATAGGAGTCAAACAACTCATTCGAAGTCTGTGGGATGAGCGGAAGATCTTTTAACCAGAACATACCAGTACATATTATGTTTCACTTTTGAAATTTACAAACTGAAATAAATAAACCTCTTGGGAAAGCGATAGTAGGCGGGAGGATGTTATTGAAGTATATGTAAAAGAAGTTATGTATGAGGGTCTAGACTCTATTCAGAAAACTCAGGATAGGGCATTTTGACCGTGATATAACTTTAACTTTCACGAAAGTGGTGATCGTTAAGGTACAAGTGTGTGTCATGTTCTTAGGAATGTTAATGAATTTTAGGTCGGATTAAACGTGGTACACAATATGAGAGTACACGATCGGCAGGAACATGTGGTAAATGAGACAACGAGGAGGAATTATCGGACTTATTGCTGCCTGAGATACTGTGGTTTTAATAACTTGAACAACACAAATTATTCCACGTAATCAGAAGTAAGCCTTCGGAAGTTTACGCAACTTCGTAACCTATGTAAAGAAACATAGAAATTAACAAATAAATTTAATGTAAACTGTCTGGTATTTACTGAAGATTGTAATTTAAGGTTTAAAGGAAAATATGTGTGGGTAAAATCTTATGTTGCATTTAATTCATGAGCTTCAACGCATTCTGCCATTAAAATTTAAGATAACTTTACATATACGTTTACTTAAGAGAGGAATGTAAATTTAACGATAAGACGTAAACTTTAATTTACATATTGTATTTTCTGGCTTGATAACAATAATTTTATCGAACAGTCTGTAAAGATAATAAGTCATAAAATGCTAAGGCTGTGTGCCATGTATAGGTTTTTTCAGTGTTTCTTTTGGTTTACAGTCATCCAGGTGTAAAGTTTGGCTGTGAGTGTTTAAATATGTTTCATTGGAGTGTTTAATTCTGGTTTCATCGCAGTGTAATTCAGACATGGATATTATGTCAGTGTTTTAGATAGGATTAAACTACTTATTTATGTAATATAGAAAACTGAAGTGTTATTCATGTACATTTTAATTTCGTCTGCTTTTGTAATCGCTTAATTTACCTAGAGAGTTTTGTATAAAACGAGCTGTTTAGTGCTCAGGAATAGAAACTCTGTGAAGTTGTAGCGAATGTGTTAAAACAAATTATAAAGAACGTACTAAACTCACATGTAGTTTAGATTACAAAGAGAATAGAACAGCACATTTCGTGTAACTGTAATGAAGGCTGTGCGCCATTGCCTGGAGCCCGTCTGTTTGAAGTAACCGAACCACATTCATGACCGACCATGTAATAAACGATAAGCCAACCAGTTCAAAGTCTAGTGTATTGTGCGCATCTCGTTTGCTGATGAGCTACAGTGCGATATGCTTTCGTTCTTTATTGACAGACAGAAATGTCCTCGCATTATTATATCTGCTAGTCACCGGATATATTTTTATTAATATCAGAGCCCGTCTTTTACATACACAAACTTCCAAGCCTTACAGTTTATTTCTATACATAGAAAAAGTGATAAAGTCATTTTCAGCCAGTGTCCCACGTATATATTTTTATAAAAATGTATTATTCAGTATGCTAAAAGCAGTCCCATGATGTCAAATCATAAGTTTTATTAATGTCGTCAGCGTTTGGCAGTATCTGTCGCTGTGAGTAACTCGTCAGTTTAATGAAAAATGTTAAATCAGTAACTAGGATTTGTCTTGAAAATGAACTTACGGAGGGATTCTTTGCGAACCTAAACAACAGAAATCAAACTTAATATTGACAGATTATTCATTCAAAATAAGTGTCAAATATCTCACTAATAACGTATTTAATGAAGGAAAATTATTATTGACTAACATGTGGACGTATTTGAAATATTCAACCTTGATTTAGTATCATTTAAGTAACTTTTCCATAAAGTTTAAATAAATTTGTCTGAGTTTATATTCCGGTAGCCAGTGGACCGGTAAGAAAGTGCGAATATTTCCCCTTCTCTTGAAAGTTTAAATACCCTTAGCATAGAGGAAGTTTTGTAGTTTTGGA